ATGCGATAACTCGATACACGTATTCAAGTTGGAATGAAAATACTATGAAGTTAGTATGATGCGCCGAGCCCGGTGCGTGCAAGACTGATGAATGATGCACGCATGCATAGCATAAGGTATGCTAAATTAAACATACCCTAAACTAACCATCGAAAGCTAGTAAATAAAAGGGAAGAAAGACGTGGGGTTGGAAGACATACACACACTCACGCACACTTAATACACAATTGCCCTCACTCGGAGGGCCTGAATAAATAATACAGATTTAACTAATTAACTATCTGACTAACTAACTAATTAATTACAAAACTTCTAATTAATTAACAAATTAATTACAGAAAGAAGGTGGCCGCAGCCCCACCTCAGAATGAGGGGATGATGTATGCTCGATTTGCCTCGCTCGGAAACCCGGTACCATGCCACTGTTGCCTCTGCTTACACTGCCCTACTCCTCTGAAAATTATGAAAATCCTGAGGTTGCTTCTGAACTGCTCCTTGAGCATTGTGGAATGCCACCGGCCAAGGAATAAGATAACTGACCATGGGAATATGCTCATCGGCTAAATATTGGGCCATCAGCTGGACATTGATGGTCGGTCGGCACTACAAATGGCCGGCCAGCTATTTATTCCTGCAGAATCCTGCAGTTGACAGCAGCAGAGGGCAAGCAGTGTATGGCACTGAATTTTCAAGCAAATGTGTGCATGGCCACTCTCCCAATCACGTTATGGACTCAAGGGAGTGTGACCCTTGGTACTCGAGCCACCAATCACGCATTTCGATGCATGATGGCCAAAGGTACCAAGTTTGCAATTTAATATAAATGCATGCAACAAACAAATAAATGCCAATGCCCTATCATGTTGAGATCAAGGGTATCGGCGATCGAGGATTGAGACGTGTTTCGTCACTTTAAGTACGAACGCCCCTCAATCCTCATGCTTGGTTTGACACCCCAAACCAAGCAAAATGTAGTGCACGTATGCAATGTGGCTCAAATATGCAACATGAGGCTAAGTTACAAGACATGCCAAATGCAAGGTAACCTATCATACAAGTATGTAATGTGCCAAATGCAAGTGTGTAATGTGCCAAGTATGCAATGCTACAATGCAATGCAACCTAACATGTGATGCAAACATGGTATAATGTAAGCCTGTAATTAGAGGCAATATGTCAAACATGCAACTATACACAAGGAGGGACTTAAACTGAAATGGGAGGCCTCGGCCACACCCCAAAACAGTGGCCAGAGCGATGGGTGAAGGCAACTAAATGCAAAGTATTCAAGCATGCTAATTGGTCCATTACCTAGACCGCAATGTCCAACTTTCAAATATGAGTGAGGGGTAATAAGCATGAGAACATGGCATTATAATAGGCTCTGAAGTTACATGAAGAATGATACCAAATCTAACAAAACATGCAAGCAAGGCATGCAATAGGGCCCAAATCTTGAAGCTAGCAAAGGGGTCCAAATCATAGCTATACCAACCAAACCCCACCAGACCAAAATGGCTTAAAACAGTCCCTTAGCATTCCAAAACAAGACTAAAGCATGCATAGATCATGGTCAAATCATGCTAAGGAATGGATGCAAAACAAAGGTGGATTCAAGACCAACAAGAGGGCATTGTACCACAACCACCTCAACCACTCATGGCATGGGCTACACAACCAAAAACAGAGTTTCAACATGCAAAATAAGCCCCCAAAACCCACTGATATGGCAGCCTAAAGCCTTAAACCAAGAGGCATGCATTAAGACCTATTTCAAGGCATAAAAGAACAACACTTCAAGGCATGAAAGGGATGATGAATGCAGGCATACAAGCATGGATTAGGGGCTGAAATGACATGAGAAATGACTCCAAATCATTGAAACAACCCAACTAAAGCTTGCTAATGACTCACACACTCAAGGCTCACAAGCCAAAATACAAAAGGGCTATACCAAACATGGTAAATATGATCAAATAAGCTCCCAACAGACCTTAAGCATGGTAAGACATGGCTAAGAACTTCACAAAGTTAGGCCAAAACATGAGATCATAGTAGGCTAAATGCATGATGCACTTCTAGGCAAAACGGGGGAATACAAAGCAAGTATATTATGCATGTAAGGGACCTTTAATCTGACCAAAAACAGAGGTAAGATATGCCCAAATAACACCCAAAAACTTCTGAAATGGAGTCAAGAACAGCTAATCATGCATGCTGCCCTTATGAGCCAAAAATGTAAACAAAAGAGAGACAAAGGAAGAGGGGTGTTCCTCCCCTATACAAGACTTCAAAACCCCTTCTTCATCATTGAAAATCCACTGGATTTCAGTGGTAAGAAGGCCAATACACAAAAGTCCCCAAAGCTTATCAAAGAGAGCACAAAACAGCCAAACAAGGCCTAAGAGGGGGAGGTCGACCCCCAACACCAAAAGGACCTTAATGAAAAATCTTAAGCATGCAAATACAAGACTTTTTTTAGTTATACACAAAGCTTGAATCAGTATGCAAGATAGGTTAAAGACTAGTGCAAGATTGGGGAATATAAAGTAAATAGTGTTACCCTTGAAGAATACTTCAAGAACAGCAAGCTCAGGCCTCTTCTTCTGATCAAAACCGACCCAAAGCTCCAAGAACAAACCCTCAAGACCTCCAAAGTTGAAGTATGGTGTAATAGTAGGTGACTTAGTGCAAAACTAAGAACTAAATACACTTTTAGGCCCTCAAACACACACAAATGAAGAAAGAGAGAGGGAGATATATAGAGAGAGAGTGATATATATCAAATATATATCATATATGGTTTGGTTTTGCTCACCCTCTCTAATGGAGAAGAGAGGTCTCCTTATATAGATAAGGGGAAAGGCTAAGCTTCCAAGAGAAGCTATCCTAAAGGGGTCAAGTCTTCCAAATGAAGCTAAGCTAAGGGTGCAAGCTTCTTAAGGAAGCTAAGACAAAGGGTCAACCTTCCTCAAGAAGCTTGAGCAAATGGTGCAATCTTCTCTAGGAAGCTTGGACCTAAAAGGGTGCAAAGGTTCAAAACAACCGCACCCGTGCATGGGGGGGCAGGGTCCATGCATTCCAGCTGGGACAGCTGGCATGCACCATGCCTGCAAGAGGCAAAAAAAGTGGTACCGGCTAGAAAAGGATGCCATCGGCCAAACAGAGTGCCGGTCGACCCCCCAAATAACCGATCGGCCATCACCAATGGCTGGTGGCAATGACACACGGCCGGTGGTCTCAAGACATGGCCGGTGATGTAAGGGGAGGGCCGGTGAGGTGTGGGGATGGCCAACAAGCCACTCCCTGCCCTTCAAAGTAAAACACAAGTGTTTGGTGCAAAACCAAATACAAAAACAGTCGGGTTGAGAGATCTTGAGGCAAGGCACGCGGCCGAGACCTCTGGAAACTCAAAACGAACACGAACATGGATGATCACCGAGTGTTCAAACGGTGACATCCAAACCTTGAGGACAGTCAAAAATGGGGTGTCTACAACCGGCGAATTTGTGTGGACCAACGTTCAACAATTGATTGACTATCTCGATAATTGACGACGGAGGTCCAGGGTTCATGTTTTTATTCTTCATATTCAACAGACAAATTACTAAACAAATAAATAATTTAAGTTTTTCATGTTTAACTCATAGGTTATGTTCAATAGATAAATAACTTGAGTTGTTATTATTATTATTAGTTGATTTTGTTTGATCACAAAAATAATTTTTTTGATTTATTTTGATTGGTGTTATTTGGTTTTGTTTGGTTTTGTGCTACTTCTTCTTATAGCATAGTCCAAAAGGCAATGAACAAATCTGATCTGCAAAACAAAAACAAAAACAAAAAAAAATATTGAACAAATATAAAAGAAAGATTGTTCCAAAAAAAAAAATCAACAGATTAGATTTGTAACTATGGGAGATCAGAAGAGATAGAGAAAATGAACAGATAATGATAGTTCTTGTTGGTTGGTGACATCATTTTGTACACATATAATGGATTATCTGGGTAGATGGATGTGCGTGTGTGTGTGTAAGAGAGAGAGAGAGAGAGAGAGAGAGAGAGAATGTTTGAGAATGAATATTTTCAACAGATAATATATCATGTGTGTTTGAGAAAAATTTCAACAGATAGATAAAACTTAGGAAAAAAAAATTGAATAGATAGGGAAAAAAATTGAACAGGATAAAAAAAAAATTAGACAGATATTTGAACAGATAAAGAAAAAAATGAACAGATAATCAAAATTGAACAGATAGGCAAAATATTGAACAGAGAAAAATTTTGAACAGATAGAGAAAAAAATTTGAACATATAGATATAATTTTAAACAGATAGTCAACAAAAAATTAAACAGATAAAAAAAATAAATGGGTAAAATTAGAAACAAAATATCCTCCAAGACTTCTCACCAAATTATTTCACAAAGTATAAATCTCTTACCAACCAAAAAAAAATCATTAGACCTAATGCCTTGGACAATCACTAGAGTAAATTTTTCACCAATTTTTTCAAAAAAAAAAAAAATTGAAGCAAAGAATAGCTTATATTTTAGTCTTTTTTATTATTATAAATTTTGTTATATTTAAGTAAATTTTAATAACCTTTTTGTAAACATTGTTGCATGTAAAATTTTAAAATAAAATTCAATACATAATCTTTTAATCATTTTATATATATAGAAAAGATTCTTCACTTTGGAACCCAGAAAAGTCAAGCCGGCCGTAGATGCCTCTCAGAACCAAACACCACAACCACAAGGTTATGCTAGTTATATGATTTCTGTTATGATATGATGAAAGAGACAAAAAGAGCTACTGCTATCTAAGCAAAAGCAAAGCAATTCTAGTATGAACATGACCCATCAATTCAAGCCAAATCAAAATTCAAATCAATATCCAAATCCAAATCTCTGTATTTTTTTATTTTCTATATTTTTTAATAAAAAATTTTTATTGTCATAAAACAATATAGAAACAAAATAAATTACAAGAGTAATGTTAGGGATCAAGAAGAAAATATCATGAAAATAATCAACCTTTAAATTACACATATAATAAAACACCACATACTAATTAAAGAATGAAAAATTTTCATAATATATTTCATGATATCTAATATTATTCAAATCAAAAACAGCCATTTCCATGTAAGAAAAGTTCGATGATATTGTTGAAGTGGGTTGGGTCTTCAATTTGGGGCACGTGTGCAGTGTTGCTTATCACTTGCAGTCTCGCCTTCTCTCCCAGAAACCTGCCCAATCATAATAAGCCAACAAAATTCTTATTTGCATAGAGAGATAGAGAGATTCATTCATTCATTCACATATATATATATATATATATATAAAGGTAATGAGAGAGATATTAAATTTTTTACTAAATAAATAACTAAATATCTCATATAAGTTTAGTAGAAAATTTAAAACTTATAACATTTTTCAATATATAAACACAACCACAAAAACAAAAAAATAATTGAGAAAGAGAGAGAGAGAGAGAGAGGAGGACGTACTCCTTGAGTTTGATAGCTTTCTCCAGCTGAAATATCTGGTCGTGCTCACCCCACACAATCAATACCTCCTTCATTATTACAAGGACAAATGCAAAATTAACAATTTCGAATTAATTAATTAATACTCCTCTAAAGCTTAGCTAGCATTTGCCTTACCATACACGGTAATAACTTAAATAAATAAAGAATCAAATAATTAGTAGTAGTAGTAGTGGTAGCAGTACCTGCTGAAGAGGGGATAAATTCTCTGTATCGTCCCTTCCAAGGGTGAGTCCCTTGAGGAGTTCCATCTTCTCCTTCCTGTTTCCGGAGTACAACTTCTGCATCCATCCATCCATTTCCATGATCCATCCATCCACATATATACATAATAATACCACTTGTTAGGGATGGCAATAGATAACCTATCCTGTGGATATCTATGGAGACCCAACCCAAATACATGGGTTTTTCTCTCTTTTTCTTATCCATTGGGTAGTTAAATTTTTTTTAAGATTCACAACCAAAACTAAATATGCATTCAATTTTTTTCTTTTGTTTTTTTTTTAATTTCTTTTTTAAGGTTCACAACTTTTTTTTTTTTAAAGATTCACAACCAAAACTAAATATGCATTCAATCTTTTTTCTTTTTTTTTATTTATTTATTTTTTCAGGTTCACAACCATTTTTTTTTTTTTAAGGTTCACAACAATTTTTTTTTTTTAATTTTTAAGATTCACAACCAAAGCTAAATATACATTCAATCTTTTTTCTTTTATTTTTTTTTTAAATTTTTTTTTTAAGGTTCACAACCATTTTTTTTTTTTTAAGATTCACAACCAAAGCTAAATATACAATCAATCTTATTTTATTTTATTTGACTCAACAATAAAATCAAATACACATTAATTAACATTGTCACATTATTCTTGCCAAATTTTATGCATATCTAGAATTTTTAAAATTTATTTAAAAAAATTAAGGACACTGTCTAGTGTAGGTTTCGGTTTGCTTTTCTATGTTATTTTATTTTGTTATGTATTGTAATTTTCAGAATGGTTTGCTTGTTCTGAAATTTCAATTAACGAGTATGAATCTATTTGTTTATGTTATCACACAATTTATACAACATATATATATATATACATATATGAATGCATTTGAAAATAAGGAAATTGTAGAGAATCAAAACAAGCATAAGTCGTAATTGGTTAGAAATGATGGGTACAAAGATTTATTTGTTGGAAAAACAAAAAAGAGATACAAAGTCTTACTAAATAATTTTTTTAAAATTAAAAGAATTTTTCTTAGTTATGAACAGATTTAACTAAAATCAACTTGTTTCCCAATATTATGCTTCATTTATTTAGATAGAAAATATTTTTTATAAAAAAAATTTAAAATATATTTTTTTATATGTGGTGGTGGTGGTGATGGAACGAAGGTGAAAGTAGAGATTGTTACATAGTGGTAGGGTGATGGCGGCAGTGATGATGGTAGTGGCTATGGTGATGGTAGTGTGACAGTGAAAGTGAGAATAGTGGTGATGGAGTTGTGAAATTAGTAAAAATTTAATGGAAAAAATATTTTTTGTTTTTTAAAAGTAACAAACAACAAAATTCGTGGGGGACTAAAGGAAGAAGATGGAGGATGGATTGGGTGTGGTAAAGCATAGATATCTTAAAATGAGTGGTTCAGATTTGTTAAAGGTATAATTAAATTTTGGATAAATTAAAATGAATAGTTCAAATTTGCTAAGAGAAAGATGGTTTAATGTCTAAAATGTCTGTGGCTAAGAGATCAACAAACAATTCCTTGTTTATGCCCTGATGCAATTTAATATGGGTCTTATAACACTTTCTTCAAACAGGTTCTTTCACATTTTATTTCTTTAAACAGACTCTTATAACATTGTAATCAAGTTCTTATAACATGTAGGGGGAGAGAATGAGAGTGAGAGAGAGAGAGAAATGGTTGCAATTTTTTTTTAATCTTTCACGTTCTTCCACATTTTTTTTTCAATTACTAAAACTTATTTGATTGTCTCAAAATTATATATTTGATTATTATAAAACAAACTTTTTAATTAATTAATTAATGTGTATTTGATTTTGTTGTTGAACCAAATAAAATAAAATAAGATTGAATGTATATTTAGCTTTTGTTGTGAACCTTAAAAAAATAAAAAATAAATAAATAAATAAGTTGTTAACATTAAATATATTAAAAAAGAAAGAAAAAATATTGAAGGTATATTTAGCTAAAACCTTTATAAAAAAAAAGAAAAAAAAAAGAAGGTTGTTAACATTAAATATATTAAAAAAGAAATAAAAAATATTGAAGGTATATTTAACTTTTGTTGTGAACCTTAAAAAAAATAAAAAAATAAAAAAAAAATTGTTAACATTAAATATATTAAAAAAGAAAGAAAAAAGATTGAAGGTATATTTAGTTTTTGTTGTGAATCTTTATAATAATAAAAAAAATAATTAAAAAAAAAAGTGATTGTTAACATTAAATGTAAAAAATAAAATGGGAATTAAAGTGGGTTGGGAAAATCCATACCCATTAAAAAATAGGGAGGGTAGTATCCATGGAGAATGGGGAATGGAGAAAATTTATTATAGGGGAATGGAGATGGGGACTGAATATCCACCCCATTGCCCCCCATTGCCATCCCTACCACTTGTTAGTTTTTTATTCCTTTATTCTTGCAATTATTGTTGTCTCATTCATGATATATATATATATATACATATATTCTTCCTAATTAATTCAATTGAATTGAGAAAATGGAGAATATATATACTACAAGAGTGGATTTATACAAACAAACTATCCTTCTATTTCAAATCCTATTTTTATTATTCGGTGGGAGGAAGTAGAGAGATAGATCACATATGGTAATGAGTTAATTTGAAACAAAGGAATAAGGAAGAATGGAATAGAAGATGCAATTCTCTACAAGGTATGTCATACATAAATAAGCATTAGTACTTTGTAAAATAGTAAAACTCACATTAATAAAAACACCTTCAATCCATTTTTATATTATTTATGTCTATTGATAAAATAAATAAATAAATAAAGTTTAAAAAAAAAAAAAATTTTGGGTCTTGCTCCTGAACGAGATTACTACGTAAATGTTATTGTTAAGAAATATGGGGAATAGCCATGGAAGCAAGTAAGAGAGTTTTGACGGTAACCATATATATGTAGGAAAAAGTTAGGGATCATGAAAATTTTGTCATGAAAATGATCATGAAAAATTTATGATCTTTGAATTACCTTGATTAGTGTGTGATACTTTATTTTAACAGCAATGCTAGGTATCATGAAAATTTTGTCATGAAAATAATCATGAAAGCTTGGTGACCCTTGGATTACACTTAGAATAAAACACCACACACTAATCAAGGTAATCTAAGGATTATAAATTTTTCATGATTATTTTCATGACAAAATTTTCATGATCCCTAAATTTTCCCTTATTTTAAGTGTAATTCAAGAGTCACAAAACTTTCATGATTATTTTCATGAAAGATTTTTCATAATACCTAACATTGCTGATGTATGTAATAGTCGATAGAGAAGAAGAAGGAGAAGGAGATGATGATGATGATGATTTTTTTTTTTTTTTTTGATCAGAGATGATGATGATGATAAATAATTCAAGAAAGATTCACGAGGAGGATGGATAAAGGGAAATTAAATAAAGGAAAATGAATAAATTGAGAGAGAGAGAGAGAGAGAGAGAACTTACATGAAGGACGTCATTTAAGAAGAAATCAGGGATGTAGTGGAGAGGCCTGAAAACAGCGAGAGAGAGGAGAGTGCGCAAGTGGGAAGGGGAGGCAGGCAACATGAGGTCCTCAATCTTGTGGAGTTGAGCTCTGTTGAGAAGGTCCGGGTTGTCAGTGGGACTCATGTTGACTCCTGAACTGGCTATCACCACTTTCTCTACCCTCTCCGGCCACATCAACCCCATTCGGTACGCCACGAATCCCCCGTAGCTTGTCCCCACTACCGAATACCTCTTTATCCCTAGCTTCTCTACAAGTTTTCCCACTGATTCTGCCTGGAATACCTCCGACCTCTTTCCTGATTTTGTGGTTGAGTTTCCGAAGAACACCAGGTTTGGTATGTATACCTCGAAATCATGCGCCAAGAACACCGCCTGTTTCCGCCATTGCCATAACGCATCTGGCCCAAATCCGTGAATCAAAACCACTGCTGGTTTCTTTGGTTTCTTTGATGAAGAAGAAGAAGAAGATGAAGATGAATAATTGGGTCCCCAAAAGTGGAGCGTAGTTTCATCGTCAATGTCCATGGTTTGGGAAGAGAGGCCAGCCCTCGACATACAACGCTGCAGATAGCTTCCGTACAACGATACCATGCTAAAACAGGATGATGCCATTGCTGCCTGCCTGCCTGCATGCGTTGCCAAAACAAAGCTCAGAGGACTCTCTTTCTCTCTCAATTACTAAACATGACCCATCATCAAATGGGACTTCATGAAACAAACAAAAACAAAAATAAAGGTATGCATTGAGAGCTTTAATTTTAGTATTGATTGTGAATTATTGTATACTTTGCTATTTTCTAAAGTGGTGATAGGTATGGCTTTGCTGTATCAATTTGGTGTTATGATAAAAATCTTTTTTTGATTATCCAATTTTTACTATAATCAATGATTCAAATCTATATTTAAACTTGATAATTAAAATAATATATATATATATATGACATATTTATATTAAAGGTAAGTTTTTTCAATTTTATTTTTGCACTTGGCGTGTGACACGTTTTCTTTCTTTTTGTGGTTGGGTAGGACAGTTTGTTTCCCTTTTGTTGACTAATTGTTTTGGTGACTATAGGACAAAAGGCTGACTTTTTGACTTTTTAAAAAAAAAATTTAAAAATTGAGAGATGATGTGATTTAAAATAAGTTAAAAGTTAGCCATCTTTCCAAAAAAAAATCCAAAATCAACCGCTGCAAAAAGTCATTGGTATTAGCTTAAATTGACTAGAAGGCCCAAATAAATCAAATATGAGGCCTGCACAAGATTCTAAAATATATTTTACTCTACAATTTTTTTGAAATCCCTTGCTCTTGCTTGGTCTTTACTCAGCAGTAGTAGGAGTAAATAAGCTTAATATTTGGACATCTTATGAATGCATAAATTAAAAAATTAAAAATAAAAAGAAAAGAAAAATCGAAAGAGCAATGCTAAGTTATTATAAAAAAGGAAAACAAGGAGAAAAAGTATGTCACACCTGATGAATTTTTATGGTGGATCTTTTCTAAACTATCTTATCACATGAACAATTGTGAGGGAATGGCTAGTGGCAATTTTTGTAGTTTGTCAATAAAACCAGATGTAAATTAAAAATGAATGGTCCCGGATGGTGGGGTTGGTTGGTATGGCTGGTTCATTTTGTGTGGATGAAGGTGACCCACTTATCAACTTCATCACCAAACCCTCTTTCTTTCCTCTTCCAAGCCTCATATATATAAATATATATATATATATAATATGAAAGGTGTATCTTGGTACGATCATCCCCAAAAATATATTGTATATTTATTTATTATATTTAATAGTGAGTGATGAGTAAATTCCCAACAACTCGGTTTGGCCTTCATTTATTTGGACAGGGTGAACCTACATTTGCAAACTTTTATTATAAAGTTCAATAATCGAGCATTCTCTAATAATAAATAAATAAATAATAATGGTGCAAAGCAAGACCATGTCCGTCTACATTATCAATGAATTCAAAACATGTAAGAAAAAGGATATGCGAGATTCTAAAAGCTAATGTAGGAACCGCCAAATCCTGAAAACCAAGTTTTCCAATGGTTTGGTTGGTTGTGGGTTTACTTGGAGTTATTGGATCAGCAGCAGATGGATGGTGAATATATTATGTATAGTAGTTGGACCCCACGTGCTCCGCATCGGATCATGGTATTGGGGGTGGAATGTTAATTGTTTGAAGAAAAATTCAATCAATTTGATCGAGTCATCATTGTATAGTATAAAATAAGTCCTACAAAATCTCTATATTGAAATTCATAGTAATCAATTTTTTTAACAATTGAAAGGAATGGAATTCATACATTATAGTAGATATATACAGTGGAAATTTGTTTACAAAAGGTAAGAAGAAGAAGAAGTACTCTGTGTTAGATACTTCATTTTAAAATTTCATAAAAATGAAGTAATAAAAATTAACAACGAAGTACTAAAAATTTCCAATCCAACAAATTATATATACTTAATTTTAAAATTTACGTTGTTTAAGTAGTTATTCGTGTGTCAAATTTAATAGAAGATTTATTGCTTGAAATATTTTTTCACTTGAGCACTTAGTGGGATTATCAAACTGCTCCGTAATCTTTCACAAAATGTGTTGGATTTGGGGATGTTTGGCTTTGGAATAGTTTTGGAACTCTCTTCAACGATGCTACATTTGTGGTCACCTGGTGTTTTTAAGACTTTGAGTAGGAAACCTTTGTTTCTTTTACACTATATTTGGTTGGGAGATTTGAAAGAGGGTTTGAAAAGGAAAAAGAGAAACGATGTGTAAAACTATATAAAATGTAGTTAGGAGGTGGGAGAAGGAGAGTGTCTCTTCTATACCGTGTTTCAGTACTGTCAAACATTTTTTCTATTTACCTGAGATAGGAATGTAAGAAAAACCGAAAAAACCGACCAAACCGATTAAGTCGAATCAAACTGACTATATTTTGTCTATTTTTTAACAAGAATCGGTCTGTGCGGTTTTTAAATTTGATTTTTTTCGGTGTTCGGTTCGGTATCGGTTTAAGCATCTTGTGCACCGATCCGAAACCGACCGCTTCAACATATATTGTATTTATAATATATACATATATATATATAAAATCTAATAATATAACAATATTAATAAGTATAATAAATTATTAACCTTAATTAATTAACATTATCATCTTTATAACGTAAGTTTGTAACCTCTTATTATATAAAATCTTAACTCCAACTCATTATTCTTGAAACTTTAGTATTTTTAAACTTTTTTTTATTTTTATTTTTGTTAATTTAGGAATTGAAAAGTACATATTAAATAAATGGATTGGATATATTTCAAATGATAGACAAATAACTAATTTAATATTTTTATATAGATTAATGATTATATTTAAACGTGACTCAAGTTTGAAAAATCCTAAACCGATTAAACGCACCAAACCAAACCGTTTCAATCGGTTCGGTTTGGTGCGATTTGATGAAAGAAAGAAGCGGTCTGTATTGGTGTTCAAAATAATAAAATTAACATTATCAATTCAGTGTAATTTTTTACCTAAATATCGACCGTACCGAACCGATTACATCTCTAACCTGAGATGAGTGAAGGAAGCACAATTTGTTTATATTGCTATAGTAGTCATTTTGGATGCATAGAGTGTCGGACAATCTTCACTGTATTTAAAAGATTTAATTCTATTGTGTACACAACAACAAATAGAATTTAAAGAAATAAAGAAAATGAGAGAATTTGTTTGATTACAAAAATCAAACTCGAAATAAAAATAAATAAATAAAAAAACAGATTTTATTTTGTTACAAAAACAAAATTAAAATCTGATTTAAATAAATAAACACAACACTGAAAATAAATTAAATAACTTACTTGATTTAATTTCTTCGAATTATTTTCTGATCAAGTCCAGTGTTTGACACTGTGTCCTTAAGACAGATTCGTCCTCTCCACGGTGCTTTCAGAATTTGGACGTCTATCTCCCAGGATATTTAGAGGAAAAAATTGAACAAACAGATATAAAATTGAATAGATAAATAGAATTGAAGGGAAAAAAATTAACCAATAGATAGAATTTAGGAGAAAATTTGAACAAATAGTCAAAAATTTGAACAATTATATATAAATTTGAACAGATAGACAAAAAATTGGAACAGATAGACATAAATTTTAACAGATAGTCAACGAAAAGTCAAACAGATAGAAAAAACATCAATCGGTTTCTAATTCGGCCGCCGATAAGGCCTTCAATTAGCAGTTTAAACATATAAGCATGAACAGATAATCATACATTCAAACAGATAGAATGCAATTTAACTAACATATACTCAATCAATTCGGTTTCCAATTTCAGTCAGTCAGTTCAGTACTTTTAATCAGTCCAATTATCAGTCATAATCAATTCAGTTTAACGGTAATCTATGGTTATCGACAATCAATCAGTCATTAATCGGTAAACAGTATGAGGGTTGAAGCCCAACCCAACCACACACCCGCGCCCAGCCCAGCGGACGGACGGCGGCGGCGGCGCGCGCGCGCGTGGGGTGATTTTTGGGTCCAATGGGCCTAGCCCATAACCTCTCGCTCTAAAACACTTGGGTACCCCTTGGGGCACACCCCAAGTATCTCACCCTAAGCCTTATAAACCCTTTCAAAACTTCCCACCAAATCAATGTGGGACAAGCCAATTTACAACCTTAAGGAATTTCCACCAAAACTCCATTTCCATGGAGCACACTTTGGCTTCAATTTCCCATTCACTCGGTAATGGTTTTGAGCAACCAAATATACCACGTGAATCACAACGCGGCATAGAACGCATTACTACTTTGACCCGAGTAAATCAACACTCGGGACTTACCTAAAAAATAGACCGAACTTAGGAAAAAATTCTAATTTTATCCAGAATTTTATAACCATTTCCAACGTAGAGAAGTGTTAAAATGAATAGCTATGTTAGAAGCTCTGTTTGGAGATTAGCTAGAGTGTTGCCTTGCATAACATGCATATGGGGAAGGTAGATGTTTGTCTTGTGGGACCACAATTTAACTTCTGCATTTCAAATCACCTTGCAAGATTTTAGAAGGATGTGGATTTAAATCATTGGTCCAATTCCCAAGTTAAACCTTATTTTTGTTCAAAGGAGATTATTTTTGAGGTAAACCCATGTTGTTTAAGAATTAAGAGCGACATGAATTCTGTAATTTTAAAATTTTAAACTCCTTATTAACAAGTCCCACAGTTCAGAATCTCGTGTTTCCAATTAGTTCTTAGGCCTCGTTTGAGAACTGTCTTTTTTAGCTTAAAAGTCAAAAAGTTACTAAAAATATCAAAAAGCCAATAACTTATACCAAAAAGTTAAACATTTCATTTTCTCTCTACTTTTTGCTCATCTTTTCGTAAAAAATTAAAAAGTCATCCCATTTTATTTATTTATTGAGACATATTAATCGGAACATTCCATTTTATTTATTTATTTATTTTTGATTTTTCAGTTTTTGTTTTCACTTAGATCGCGTTGCTTTCCTGCCATATTTTTTGGAGAAAGTTTGTTGCTTTCTTGAGTAGCTTTTATTCAAAATTAATTGTCATAGGTTCAAGGTCAAATGCATACAACATATATGTAGTCTAATTCAGAAAATTTAACAAAGGCTATCAAAATCCAATTACCCAAATCAAATCAGGTCTTTATTTATTGAGACAAATTGACAAAAACTTGGTGTGCATCTATTTAACATATACCCAGGAAAGGAATGAAAACAGTGTGGGTAAATATTGTGCAGCACACATATAAATAATAGGTATCAAATTACAGATGTAATTACCAGGAGTTGCAACGGTGGAAGCAGAGCTTTGGATTACCAACTTCAACAGCGTTACGGCAGCAACAATGCCGACAATGATGCAAAGAATAGTGTAATAGTAATTCCATCTAGAAAATGTATATATATCTTGTGAGAAATTCCATGTTTGCTGCAAAAACACAGGGCATAAAAAATAAAATCCAGCCATCATCATGAGTGCGAGTTGAACCTATGGGTCGGTGAGGTTTGCTCATCCAAGTGGTGAAATTTATTTTCTTCTTCATTGTCAATGTCAATTTCTATGTGGATGAAGCTTTGGAAAATAGCCAAGCAGCAGAAGCACCGGTCTGGAAAATTTCTAGGAGGAATGGTGGTATTTGTTTTCTTCTTCTATTGTGTGTGGATGATTTGAAGCCACGTGTCCAACCCAAAATCTGCAAGGAAACAGTTGGAAATGAGCATCAAAAAATATGCGGGAAAAGCATTGGAAAATAAACTAGGCAAGTTACGCCTCGTTTGGCAAGAGGCTATTTTACCCAATTGGCTAAAAAGTTATTAAATTAGTCAAAAAGTCAACAACTCATACCAAAAAGTCAAAGATTCTCTTTTCTCTCTACTTTTTGCACATTTTTTCATAATTAGCCAAAAAGTCATCCCAAACATACAAGTTTTTTTTACCTACCTTTTTAGCCAAATAGCCAAAAAGTTACTAAATTAGCCTGTTCCCAAACGAGGCCTTAATAGGAAGGAAGGAAGGAAGGAAGGAAGGAGTTGGAAATTTTTAGGGGAAATGATGAAATTTGTTTTCTTCTTCTACTATTGTATATGTGGGTAATTTGAAGCCCGTGTCCAGTCCAAATATGCAATGCAATGCAAGGAAAGAGTTATAACAAATCAAACAGGCAGCAACATTACACCAAACAAAACAAGCAGCAGCGTTATACTATTGTTACATACTTTTTACATAGGTTAGGTTATGGATAGATAAGGATGGGGTTTGGGCCGACATGGTTAGATACTCGATAGAGTTTAATATACTCACTCCAATTTGTTTGTTTGGGCTTTGCCTGCCTGCCTCCCACTACTCGTTGCAATTTGTCTTTGTTTTTTGGTTTTTGGCCTGGGAAGACCTGAGTTTTCGAGCATGAGCTCTTCGTTTCAACCCAATCCGTGCTCAATAAATTTAGCTTAAGCCTTCTTTTGAGATGTGAGTTAGTTTTTTAATTTTTTTAATTATTTTAGTTTGGGGTTAAAAAATTTTGTTTGGGATAAATTTTTATAATTTTTTTATTTTTGTGAAAGAAAAAATAAAATAATTATAATTTTGATGTGATATTTTGTTTTATTTGACTAAAATAACTAATTTTATCTGATATGACTATTTTAACCCAATAAGCATACCAAACAGAAGTTAAGTTTGGGCTGCTCACAAAAATTGGGCTGTAACATTGAACAGTTTTTTTATTATAACCCTTGTTTTGGGGTTATATTGAGTTTATTGTAGTGCTTTTTATCAATTAAAATATTTTGAGATTTCTTTTTTTTATTATTTATTTATAAGTTCCATAGAAAATTATGTGCAACGTATGACATCTGAAGTATAGAAATAGTAAAACTATGTTTGTTTTGGAGATTTGAGAAACGATTTTTTTAAAAAAAGAAAAAGAAAAAGAAAAAGAAAAAGAAAAAGGCAAATGAAATGTGAATAAAATATACTTACATTTCATCTAGTTTCACATACCTTTTTTCTTTTTCTTTTTTAAATTCCTTTTTAATTTTCTCAATCAAATACAACGTAAGAAAAAAATAATCAAATAATCTAATTAGGGTTGAGATGAATATATGTGGCTGCTTTAATCCAATAGTCAAGTGAAAGGAGATTTATTTTTATGTATAGTACCATATCACCCGTGATATGCATGGGAATAAATATAATATATTATTTATTAAAAATACGATAATTATATTTAATTTTTTTTATATTTTGTCTCTCGTAAATAAAATTTTATATATAAGTTTAAGAGTTTTGTTTCAAATGTTCATTTACTATAATATATAGTAGAGATAGATTAAAATTGTTGTATGGACAATTAATAATTAAAATTATGCTTTGTTATAAAAAAAATGACATAGTTCTAACATGTCACTATTTTAGAATAAAAATATATGAATTTTAAAAAATTGTCAGATTAATTTTTGAAAGGGAAATAATTAAAGAAATTTTAAAAACTTAATGAGTAAGAAAGAATTATCATAACATGCAAAATCGTTAAGATCACGATTAAACTAGCAAATCGTTTAAACAAAAAATGGTTTAGCTTATTTAGTTAGGTCAAAAAAACAACCAGCTTACACAAAAAATTATTAATTAAAACTTTTAAATTTTATTTTATTAAAATTTAAATTGTTACTAAATATAGAAAGCAATCTATTAATTTAAATTTAAAATTGACACAATATAAATTTAAAATTATAATAATTTATCCCATTATTTATAAGTTTTCAATACAAGTTTAATATTATCATAATTATCTCATAAATTTTGTATTAAGGAGCAGTAAGAGTGACATCGAAATTATCGATATATTTACATATTTTACAAAATAATACTTTTTAGTATAGATGTTGTGAGAGTTTCAAAATATCACACAAAATTATTTTTAAAATCAAAACCTCTATGTTGGATTATAAAATAAAAATTAAATGGAAGCTAGCTTACTGGGATTTTCTTAATTGTTTAAAATTAAGAAAAATCAATAATTTATATAAGGGTATGGCTTCTGTCCAGTCTGGGATCGAACTGGACCGTGTTGTTGGGCCCGTGAGGGCCCACCACGGGTTCCGTTTTGATAATCTGAACCGTTAATGTGTAGAACTCGTCGAGTACTATATACTTGTAAAAAATTACGTTGATCGGATATCGATAGTTATATGATCAAATCAGTTTCGTATTAAAAAAATTGGACGGTGAACAAATTAACGGTTGACAAAAAATTGTTTTGATCACATAGCTATCGATATCCGATCAACGTGATTTTTTTAAGGTATATAGTACTCAGCGATTTCTACACATTCAACGGTTCAGATTATCAAAACGGGACCCGTTGTGGGCCCATATCGGCCCAACAGCACGGTCCAGTTCGATCCCGGACTGGACATAAGCCATACCCTTTATATAAATGAGAGTATAAGATTCTCTTTATGTAAGTGAACAATTCACTTTTTTATTAGTTTCCCGATGTGAGATTACAAAATAAAAGGTCAATGAAAACTAATCATTGACAATTTTCTTAATTATTTAAAATTAAAAAAAAAATTAATAAATTTAGCATGAGAGTTTAGAATTCATAAAAATTTCTCTCTAAAAATACCATTTTATTTATATAATATATAGATATCATTATTAATTAAATAAACATAATTTGATCTTGTGTAAAAAATTTCATTGAGTGATAACTAGGGGTGAGCAGTGGACATACCGATCTGTCCAAGCCAATCGAACCGATCCGCTACATTTTGGACGGATTCGTGATGACGAGCGGACGGTTGTAGATTGATTTTTTCCAATCTACCTATTTTTGGATAGATGGCGGATTTGATGTTCATTTGGCCACATCCAAACCGCCAAACCGCCGAGCATCTCTAGTAATTTATAAGGAGTGCTGCTATTAGCACCTACCAAAATTCTTTTGACCCCCCATTTCTTTGGACCCCAACCCTAAACCCTAAATTTTAATAATATTTTTTTAGACACCCCACTTATTACCAAATCTACCCATATTCATAATATTTTCACAAAGAAATGCACACCCACCTAATTTTCCATCCCTCTCCTTCCCTGACTTACTCAATCTTCAGAGCTTGGAGCTTTGGTCTAGTATAGAATTTTTGGACCCCAACCCTCCATCACTCTCGTCGCCGTCTCGACCGTCGACGGAGCATTCTGACGACTCTCATATTCTCTGAACGCTCTCCGTATCGCCGAATCAGTAACCTCTCTCATCCTCTCATCATCATCTTCTTCGTTGCTTTTTGTATTTTCGTCATCGCTGAGATCGATCAAAGATACTCTAATTTCTATGGGATTTGTATAACCGTTTGCAAGATAAGGAAAAACAGAATCATCATCTGAATCGCCATCAGAATCATCGTCTAAATCGCCATCAGAATTCTGAATGTAGCCCAAAACAATTTGTTCACCACTGTGTAGCAAAAAATTTGTTCATCACTGTGTAACAATAATGATCATGTCAGCACTGTATGTCCGAACAAAATTTGTTCATCACTGTGTACCTTGAATCCATTCCAATTCACAACTTAAAATAACATAAATTAAATCCATTCAAAATACATAACTTAAATCCATTTCAATTCACTCTTTTCTATTCTAAGTTAGTTTAACAAAGAAAATTACATAACTGACTATCTGCATTAATGTTCGGAACCTATGTATTGAACGAAAGGATTATGTTCAGTACTGTATTATCGAACATAATTCTAACAGTCAGCAAACCAGTACCGAACTGCTCGAACGAAATAAGAACGACCGAAAACGACCGAGAATGCTACTGCAAGACAGATAAACTTATAAGATGATAAAGTATACGCTATACTTGATGCAAAACTTTCAAATTCAAGAGCGTTGATGATGGTAATGAAGATGACACATTCAAGATTTAAGATGATTATGAAAAATAATAGATTTAGGGTTTATGTTAGTTAGTTATGAAAAGTAATAGGTTTAGGATTTACAAACATAGAATACGTATAGTTGGAGTTTGAGGTGGAGGTGGGGGTGGGGGTGGGTGTCCAATATTATAGAGTATTAGTTCTTATTGATAGGTGGGTGTTCTATTTAATAATGTCTTTTAATATAATTTTACTTTAGGGTATAATTGTAATAAAAAAAATTTATAAAATGGGGGGTCCAAAAAATTTTGGCAGGTGCTAATAACAGCACTCTTTGTAAGACTTTATATTTTTAATTTGTTTATATATTCTATTTGTGTTTTCAATTGAAAAATAGTTTAAATATTATGTTTAAAAAGAATTTTCAATTTAAATATATTTTTTGAATTGAAAAAAATAAATGTATTATTTATCTATATATTTTAGTTTTTAAATCTAACTCTAAAAATAATAAATAAAAAAGATTATATATGCTGGTTAGTTTTTGTTTTAAAAAATAGATATAGATGTAACAATACAAAGGTATACAATCTCTACTACTGCTCTGTTAATGGTTTTGGTGGTTTGAATTGTTTTTTTATTTTAAGAACCACAAATTATAATAATTTATGTAGATGAGGCATGCTGTGATTGTAATATGTAAATAAAGTTTCAAACTTTTTTTCTATGGATGAGGCATGCAGTGATTGTAATATTCTCATTGACTATAAATTTTTTTTTGAAGAAAGTACATAAGTTGAATTATGTTAAAAATTTATAAAATTTTAAACTGCCAAACCAATTCACATCTATCCGCCAATCCACTCAATCCACATCGGTCAAATTGACAAACAGATGCAGATTAATTTTTTCTAATTCGCCAATCTAACAAACAGATTTAAAAATACCGTGATTGCAACCGGCTCGCGTCCACCTAGTGATAATTGGAGTTTCTTGATTAAAAAAAATATATATTTATATATATATATCTATCTATCTATACTATTATAAAGTGAATGTCCTGAAACTTTACTAGGCTTGAACCCATGACCATGGGTTTAAGTACGAGGAGTCATACCACTTAAGCTAATTACACATTATAATATTAATTTCATTATTATTATTTTTTTATTCCTACTTATTTAAATTGTATATATATATTTTTTTTTTCTGCCGTAATGGTTGCGAGCGAGTTAACTTTCCCTTTGCTCCATTTCGGTTGATTTGTGTTGCCTCCCTCCCTTCCTTCCTTGGAGACCAAGGTTTTGTCTATTTGTTTGTAATGTAAACACAGCGCTGGGACTGGCGAGAGTGAGAGAGAGAGAGAGCAAATCTAAATCTAGTAAATCCGTGGTGGCTTGTAGTTTGGAAATTATCATTGTTATTATTATTAATATAAATAGATTTAGGGGGGGAAATGGCGACGTTGCAGGCAGTGATGGGGAATTTGACGGCGAGCGATCGGCGGATGCTGACAGCCGTGAACAGCGGAGCATCGAGCCTCTCCTTGCTTGGCTCTGGTTTCATAGTTCTCTGCTACATCTGCTTCAAGGAACTCCGCAAGTTCTCCTTCAAGCTCGTCTTCTTCCTCGCTCTCTCTGTATGTCTGGACTGGACTCCAATCCACTCCACACACTCTCTCTCTCTCTCCTTAATTCTTATATCACTTTTTTCCTCTTACTTCTCTCGTAAATCTGTTGTTTCTAGGATTCATTTGCTAGTTCTGAATTTGGCAAATGTTAACTAATAGTTCCATGATGAAAAATAAATTGTTGGCTTTGGCTTTGTATTGCAGAATATGATCCGCCATATTCTTCTTGGAATTAGGCCTAAATCTGCTCTTCTTTCTGTAGCATGTGGCCCCTTTTCCCCTTTTATGCTCTCTTATTCCCTCTGTTTTCATTTTCTCCATATAAACTAATGTATGCAACTTCAAATTTTCTATCTTATAAATGAAAATTTCTGTCTAGGTAACTCAAAGGTTTTCTTTTATTGGTATACATCTCTATTCAATTTGTCAGTTGTTAATATATAATGTAATATATAATGTATATAGTATAATGTATACTAGTATATTATAAGATAAAGAGCATAGGGCATAGGAATCCCTTCTTCTTTCAGTTGTAAAGAAGAAACCCCACTCACCACTTTCATTATTCTGTCAAACACCACTCACACACCTTCATTATTATGTTTTCTCCTTTCGGTGCTTTCTATATATAAGCATCACTCTTGTACTCAACTGATATAACAATTACAACATTAATTCATATCTCACATGGTATCAGAGCACAGGTGTTTTGCCTAGTCTCTACATTTTTTTTCTTCGCCGACTGCTGTGTCCCTCGTCTGCATCACATTTTGACAGATTGTTGCATCTCTCGACCTTCTCTGTCTTCCTTATTGGACCACACCAGTCTCTTCGTCTCCTCACGACGAATCCACCACCACCAAATTCATCACCAGCCGACGTTCCACGCGCCTCCACGCGCCACCAGAACTTCCGGCCACGCGCATCCTCGTTCTCCGACGCGCTCTACACGCCTCTTACACTATCCCGCGCTACTGTGCGCCGCGGCCTCCTCTGCTAACGTGAGCCGCGTGTTTCTGACGTCAGCCGACGTCAGCCCTCCTGCTTTCGTGCGCCGCCTGCTGTCCTCTGCTATTGTGCGCCGCGCACTTCTCTGCTAACGTGCGCCGCGCACTTCTCTGCTAACGTGCGCCGCGCCTGTGACATCAGCCCTGTCGCCCGTGACATCATCTGTTTGACCGGATTTGTTGACCAGACCACTCCACTCACTTTGACAAGCCAATTTAGTGCCTTTCTGGTCCTATTTTTTGGTCAGTTCACTCATTTCCCACTGATTTCGACCTTCTGAATTCACTGGTACCCTCGGATTTTTTAAATTCTACCTCGAAAGTACGATTTTGCCCTCATGGATCGCCTCGACTCCTCTAACCACCCTATTTCCGTTGTTCTTGACGGGACTAACTATGTCTTATGGGCACAAGCTATGTCTGGGTTTCTCAACGGAAAGAAACTTTGGCGCATCATCACTGGGGATGTGTGCAAACCCATCCAAGCAACCACCGAATCTGCTACCACCACGGACTCCGCTGCCAAATATGTCGATCATCTGGAGGATTGGGACAGTAAAAACTATCAGATCATTACCTGGTTTCGCAATACTTCTATTACATCTATCAGCCTTAAGTTTGGTCGGTTCCAACTTGACTCTGCTTCCTCTCCCGCCAAGGACATCTGGGATTTTTTACAAGAACGCTATCAGACTACTGGCCTTGCTCACCAATATCAGCTTTTGAGCCATCTTCACCGTATGCGCCAAGAAACAACTCAGACCATTAATGATTTCCTCTCCCAAATGTATTATGTTTGGGATCAGCTCGCTCTTTCTGAACCTCCATGGGATTGTACTAAGGATGCTGCCTTGTTTACTACTTACCGTGACCAACATCACTTGGTTCAGTTTCTCATGGCTCTTACTTCCCGTTTTGAGCCAGTACGCGCATCTCTCCTCCATCGCACTCCTTTACCCCCTCTTGAGCAAGCAATTTCTGAACTCCTGTCAGAGGAAACTCGGTTTGGTACTCTCCATCCGCACCCTGTGGACTCTGTTCTTGCTACTCCCCAGACTCGGAGTTCTCCTTCCCCACCTTCACCACAGAAGTCAACTTTCTGCAACTACTGTCAAAATCGCAGTCTTCCGTCGACTCATCTTCTGGTTAATTGTCCTGTTCGCCTCTGTCGGTTTTGCAACAAGACTGGTCCTGGTCATCTCCAGCAAGATTACTTCCGCAATCCCGCCCGTGCTTCTCGCAATGGTCCTTCCCCCGGGCATTTTTCCCGCAGCACCTCTTACTGCTCGTTCCAGTACTGAGGCCGAATACCGTGCTCTTGCTGATACTACTCAGGAGCTTCTTTGGCTTCGTTGGCTTCTTGCTGATCTGAGTGTTACCTCATTTGGTGCTACTGACCTTTTTTGTGACAATCACAGTGCTCTTCAAATTGCTCACAATGATGTTTTTCATGATCGCACCAAGCACATTGAGATTGAATGTTATTTTATTCGTCAACACGTTACTCGTGGTACTGTCCATCTCCATCCGATCTCTTCTGTTGATCAACCTGCTGATATCTTCACCAAAGCTCATTCTCCTGGCCGCTTCCTTGAACTTGTCTCCAAACTCCAGTTGGTCGATGTTTTTCCACCTTGAGTTTGAGGGGGGCTGTTAATATATAATGTAATATATAATGTATATAGTATAATGTATACTAGTATATTATAAGATAAAGAGCATAGGGCATAGGAATCCCTTCTTCTTTCGGTTGTAAAGAAGAAACCCCACTCACCACTTTCATTATTCTGTCAAACACCACTCACACACCTTCATTATTATGTTTTCTCCTTTCGGTGCTTTCTCTATATAAGCATCACTCTTGTACTCAACTGATATAACAATTACAACATTAATTCATATCTCACATCAGTAATTATCTATTTTAGAGGGGAAAATTTCACTCTTACATTATAACTGCATCGGCTTCTTGGGTGCAAGGATGATCCTACTAGATCACCAAACCATTAATGCCTTTGGGGGCCAGTTGTTGGATGTTTGGAGGGTACTCCGAGGACTAAGTTAGTGCTGGAACTGGATGTGGATGTGGAGGGTCATTGAATTCACTGTAGATAGTATATTATTCTAGTTTAGAATAAATGTAAATAATGACCGTAAACACTGCTATTGACACTTTCCTTTGGACAAAAAAGGCTTCTTGATGATTGCGGACCCATAGCCTTCACTTGAGGCTTCCAAAGCCTATTAGCCAGGCAATAGATATAGCATCAGTTAATAAATGTTGATGACTAGTTAAATTTTATATTATGTACTACTGTTAATAACTAATTGAAAACAAGTATTCAATGACATTAGAAATAATGTATAATAGACATAGCAGAAGTTAATTATACAAAATTGTGGGCTTTGAACATCATTGGTGCTTATTATACTTTTCTAGCTATGCAATGGATGTGGCACTTTTTTAAAGTACACATTGAAAATTTACCTTTACTAGTGGTAACAGATGTGATAAATAACTGAAAAGAAGTATCAGTTGCATAAGTAATAATGTTTAATAGATATAGCAGTAGTTAATTTTACAAAAATTATGGGCTTTGAACATCATTGGTGTTATTCTTCATTGTAATATCAATCTGCACGGTAGATGTAGAATGCTACTTTATGCCTTCTATTTTGAAAGTTAAATATTGGATACAATACAACTTAAGTCTATTCATTGATCATTCATTTACTTATTGCTTTTATTAAATGCTTGAGGAATTAATCTATTCGATTTTTTTTGCATGCAGGACATGCTTTACAGTTTCTTCAGCATTGTTGGGTATGCATATCAGTGTCAAGTGATATCAGCGTTTTTCTTGTAAGGTGATGTAATTGCTGATGGGTTCCTTTCCTTGCTGCAGGGATCCGTCTAAAGGATTGTTTTGTTATGCTCAGGGCTATAGCACCCATTTTTTCTGCGTGGCTTCTTTCCTGTGGACTACTACAATTGCCTTTACTCTTCATCGTACAGTTGTCAGACACAAAACAGATGTTGAAGATTTGGAGCCTGTTTTTCACTTGTATGTTTGGGGTATGCAAGTATCTTTTACCTCAAAAAGCTTCTTGCGAGATATTTATGAGATTGGTTTAGTATATGTAAGAATTTATGTATTATTGATTGATGTCTTGATTGATAGATTACCTCAAAAAGCTTCTTGCGAGATATTTATGAGATTGGTTTAGTATATCTCATAATTGCCTTGTTTGCACTTATGTCTCTGCAGTTGCATTAAAAAGTGGTTGGTTTGTGAACATTTTTATGAAACCATTTGCTTCCATGCAATTGCACATATCCCTTTCATGAAGCTAATAGTGAATATTGAATTACTTCAACAGGAACTTCTCTGGTTATGACAGTCATACGTTCTATTGGTAATGACCATGGGCATTTCGGTGAATTAGGTGCATGGTGTTGGACACAAACAGGGCGCACAGGAAAGGTAGGCATTGGGTAGACTTTTCCTGCAGGCATTCTGGCTTTACTTTGTTTCCTACTTAGTTTTTCAGACTTGGTTAATTATGTAAAACTTTTGCCATTTTTTATTGTGAATTCCAATATACTTTCATTATATGAGTTGCTTTTAGTGCCCGGCTTTCTTGCCCTTGGAATTCTAACTTTTGAAAAAAAAAGTACTTTAGCGAAAGTCTATACTTGACAAATCTTACCTGTCTCAGGACCAAGTAGAATATAGCATGAAATTCATCAATTCTAGTATTTTTGGCATTAAATATGAGGTACATAAAAATGAATGGCCCTTTGAACAGATTAGCAATTGGATTTAGAGAAGCCATATTCTCTCCTTACTATTTGTTACCTTCTTGGAAAGATAAACATATTGTAGACCATGTCAAATTGTCAATGGATCTTGCTGAAATTGACAACAGCATAGAAATTCATGCAAGACTATTTGTTAAACTTACTCCAGTGCCTAATTGTACACCATTTGTTCATCCACACTCCAAAATCATTCCTTCTAATGATTCGTTTGGGAAGTTGGCTATTTTAGTATCCTAAAATTTTTGTGTTTGGGAAGATGGTTGGATTTTTTTGTAGTTGGATGTGATATTTGTGAGAAAAAATGTGAAGTGATTATGAGTTTGATGTGACTTTTAGGAGTATGTCCATGTTTCTAATTTTGTGACTTTTAGGAGTGGCTTTTTCTTGACCATGAGATTAGAATAAAGTAATAAATATTTTTGGAATGTAAATATGATGTTGAGATATGAAGTTATGAACTATATATCTTGTCTGCAATGTCATTGATTTGCATTTTGTTCACAGAAGTTTAAAACTTTTCCATTTGTCCTACAGGCGGTTCACTTCATAACATTTTACGTGCCATTATGGGGTGCAATTATTTTCAATGGTGTCACATACTTTCAAGTGATACGCATGCTAAACAATGCGACACGTGTATGTACTCATTTACCTATTTTCCTTCCCCCTTTTTTTATACTTTTTTCAGACGACAACCAGAACTCCGACTGGGGAGACCCCTTTTCACCTAACTTATGGTGCCGAGGCAATCATCCCTGTAGAAGTGGGCCTATCGATGCCCAGGATCATCAATCTTGATCCACAACTGAACGATGAATTCTGGAGGGTCGACCTCGACCTCATCGAAGAACTGCAAGAAACAGCCGCCGTTCGACTGACCTCATACCAATAGAAAGTGAGGCAGCACTATAATCGCAGAGTTCGACCTAGGGAATTCACAATGGGAGACCTCGTCCTTCGAGAAACAACTCTTACCACTAAAAACCCGACCGAGGAGAAGCTCGCAGCTAAGTGGGAAGGACCTTACATAATTAAAGCTAGACCTGCCTAGGCACTTACTGTCTCCAAGACATGGAAAGCAGAGACCTCCCTCACCCTTGGAATGTCGAGCACTTGAAACGATATTTCCAGTAAAACAGTGTCTTTTGTTTTTTGCATAAATTCAATTGTTGTATGTTTCATTTTGTTGTTCGGAACACTTTTTCATTTTTGTGCTGACCATACAATGCATCAACCTATGTAGGACTGTACCTTAATGCCAACTATTTGAATTCGCCATTATTTATTTATTTATTTATTTTTTGTGCCTTAATGAACGAATATTCACCAAAGCCTCAGCCAGACTGAACACGAAGCACTCAGCCAGACTGAGCACAAAGCGCTCAGCCAGACTGAGCGCTCAAAAGCCCCAACCAGACTGAGCACGATGTGCTTAGCCAGACTGAGTCCTCCAAAACCTCAGCCAGACTCGGCCCTCCAAAGCCTCAGCCAGACTAAGCATGAAGCGCTCAGCCAGACCGAGCCCTCCAAAGCCTTAGCTAGATTGAGCTTGAAGAGCTCAGTCAGATTGAGCCCTCCAAGCCTCAGCCAGACTAAGTTGTTTTTTGAAACACAGTCCAAAAAGCAAAACACATAACAATTTTATAACTTAACTTTATTACAAACCATAATAACACACAGTTTTTTCCAGACTGTGGGCAGTTACTTACATGATTCATTTAGTTCACTTTTAAGTCCCCTTAGCCACATTACTTTATAAGCCACTTCATTACCCAACACTTAAATCTTTCCATGCATAGGTTTATTATATACCAAGTACAAAAAAAAAAAAAAAAACCATTAAGGCAGATAAAAACCAAACTTTCAAAATTTAAATTCTTTACAAATGTCAACCATTCTTTACAAGGAGCTATGTCAATTCGACAAAGGGGAAAAAAAAAAAAATAGAACAACCTAAGTCTAATTTTCACACCGCTCCACCTTTATCCCCATTTTCCTCGCTGGATACTGTAGACACCCCATTTTTGACCGACTTTAAGACTCATACGTCATCGTCTATGCACTCAATGATTGCGCATGTTTGTGTTGGTTTTGAGTGCCCGAAGGTCTCGGCCAAGCACCTTGTCTTTGAGCCTCTAAACCCTATGTGTTTTGGCCTTGTTTTTAGGCCAAACCATGGTGCCTCTTGGCTGAAGGAGAGTGGGGCCCTGCCGGCCACTTTTGGCATTTGCTAGTCGCTTTTTCTCCTTGCCAGCTAGTTGGAGTGGCCGATCGGCCACTTGAATTGGCTGGCAGCCAATTTTCTCATTTTTCTGATATTTTCAGATCTTTTGAGCCAGCTGTTGGGCATTGAAGCTATCCTCCATACACGTGTATGAGAGATGGAAACAAGCTTTAAGCTTGTCAAGCAAGCTTTTGCTTGCATTGCCTATATAAAGGGAGGTCCCTTCCCCTTGTTTGAGGTTTAGAAATTTTGGAAGCAAATTTTGACTCTCTCTAAAATTCTCTCTCTCTCTCTCTCTCTCTCTCTCTCTCTATTATACTCTATAGTGGTTGAAAGTGAGTGTTCTTGACATATTTGCACACAAGCCTCTTAGCCAAACATCTTGACCTTGAAGCTGAGATTCCTTAAGACTTGTTTGGGCCTCCTAAAGTTGGTTTTTGGCTCAGAAGTTATCCTCTTGCTGCTGTGCTTCAAGGGTGAGCATATTCTCTTTTTTGAGCTTATTTTTGTGTACCATATTAGCCACTGTAGACACCCCATTTTTGACCGGCCTTAAGACTCAGACGTCATCATTTGAGCGGTCGATGATTGTGTTTGTTTGTGCTCGTTTCGAGTTTCCAGAGTTTTCGGCTGAGTGCCTTGCCTCTGGGCCTCTGAACTTTTTGTGTTTTGACTTGGTTTGTGGACCATGCCTTGTTGACCTTCCTTGGAGGGAGAGAGAGGTTTGTAGACCACCTTTTGTGGTCGTAGACCACTTTTCCCTCTTGTAGGCTAGTTTTCGATTTTCGAAGCCTTCGGCCACGCGCCTTGTCTCGGGACCACTTAACGTTCTCCTTTTGGCCTGGTTTTTGAACCATGCCTTGTTGCCTCTGCCTAAAGGGAAACAGAGGTCTTGAAGACCACTTTTTGTGGCCGTAGACCACTTTTCCCTCGTAGACCACTTTTTGTGCTCGTAGACTAATTTTCGAGGCTTCCGGCTACACGCCTTGTCCCGCGGACTTTAGTCTTTCATCCTTTTTGGTTTGTTTTTGGCACAAACCTTGTTTTCCTTGCTTGGAGGGTGGAATAGGGGTTGTAGACCAGTTTCTCTCCCTGAAAACCACATTTCCTGCCAGCCAGCCAGTTTTTTGGTCGGCCAACTGGTCTTGGTGGTCTGTGGACCACCAAAAGTGGTCGGCAGCCATGCCACCACCTTGCTTTGTTCCTACAGACCACCTCTCCCCCTTGCCAACCACTTGGTCTCCCTACAGACCACTTTCACTGGTCGGCTGACCAGTGCAAGTAGCTGGCCAACCACTTTAACTGGTCAGCAGCTTTCCTGCAATTTTCTGCAGATATTTTCTTGCCAGCTGTGCCAGCTGTTGGGCACAGAAGGTATCCTCCATACATTGCTTGGAACCTAAAGCTTGTTCAACAAGCTTATTGCATGTTTTTCTATAAAATGGAACCTCCTCCCTCTTGTCTCAGGTTCAGAAAATTTGCTTGGAGTGATACATATCATCTATCTCTATATTTCTTCATTTCTCTCTTGTTTTGTGCTTTAAAATGTAGTTTCTTCACATTTTCGCACACAAACACATACTCAAACACCTTCATTCTTGGGCTGAGGTTCTTGGAGGTTTGTTTAAAGCACAAAATATTGGTTTTGCCTCAGAAGTTGTTGATTTGCTATGTTTCTTCAAGGGTGAGTCTCTATCCTCTCTTAAGCTTTGTTTTGCTTAAGTGCTTAGCCTTATTTGCATGCTTCTTTTGGCGTAACTTTAAACTGCAAAAAGCTTCATTTTTGAGTATCGAAAATATTTGTTTAAGGCTTCTTTGGTGTTGGGGGTGGTCTAAGCCCTTGCATGCCTTGTTTGCTAGAATTTTGAGCCATCACTTTGGGCATTTGTGATCACTTTTATTTGGCCTCTTCACTACTGAATTCCAGAGGAATTTCAGTGGTGGAAACTTGGTTTTGAGGTCTTAAATATGAGGGGGTTGTCCCCCCTCCTCTTCTCTTGTTTGTTTGTGTTGTTGGCTCATCAAAAGAGCATGTAGTTCTATCTTCTTGAAGCTTTGTTTGAGCACTTTTTTGTGACCTTTTAGACCTACCATGACTCTATTTTTGGTTTTCTTGGTCACCCTTTGCGTGCTTCTTGTATGTGTAGTGTAATCCTACTTGAAGCTTTTCAAAGTAGCATGCCTTTCTAGCATGTTTTGGTTTTATCTCAGCATGTTTTTGGTGTTGTTTTGCCATGGTATAACTCTGTTTTGGTTTGGTTTGATAGCCTCTTACATGCTTCTTGCACTTGTAGTGCATTTTCATTCACTAGCCTAACATGCATCATGCTTTAGACCATCATTTTAGTACGCTCTTGGCTCCACTCTAGGAAGCTTTCCTTCATGTTTTTCCATACTTAAGCACTGTTTGATGTTATTTTGGTCATGCATGCCTTGCTTTGTATAGCCATAGTTCATTCTTGCTCACTAGCTTTGAGTTTCATGGACTCTAGCATGGCTTACTTGAGTTGTTTGCATGCTTTGATCTCAATTCTACCATGATTTCAATACATGTAGTGTGGCCATGCCCTCTCATCTTTCACTCATTCAATGCTTTGGAGGGTTTGTGCCTTATGCCTTAAATATGAGTCAATGCGTATGCCATCTTGCCTAGCTTTTTGGGCCACCATTTCAGTGTGTATTTGGTCCTATTTTGCCATGATATAACTCTGATTTTTGTTGGTGAAGTCATCTCATGCTTGGTTTTGGTAGGTGTAGTGTAATCCTCCTTATTGGCCTTGCATACTCCATGCGTCATGCCCTTCATGCTATCTTGTTTTGGCTATACTCCATGCATGTTTTAGCCTTGATTTGACATGCTCTAGGACTGTTTTGGGTTGTCTTGGCCATGTGGTTCATGTGTTGCATAGCTATAGTGCAATTGGCCTTGCTAGCCTTGAGTTTTGAGCACCATAGTATGACATACTTGAGATGTTTGCTTGCCATGACATCATTTCACATGATATTTCAGTGCATATAGTGTTGTCGCACTTCCATGTTTGTTACCTCTTAATCATGTTTGAGAGCTATGCTATCATGCTTAGTTGATGAGCCATTGCATATGCATGTATTATCTTGCTTTTTATGCCATCATTTCATAGCATTTTGGCCACTGTTTTGGCATGATTTAGGTCTGTCCATATTCAGTTTAAGTCCATTGAGCATTGTTTTGCATGCCCCTTGTGAGGTGCCCTTTACTAGCTTTGATGCCTTAGCTTCTAAACTTGCCATGCATGCCTTGTTTGCATGTTGGAACCTTGTGTATGGCATCCTAGCATTCATAGAAGAGCATGTTGTTTGCATGTTGTTACATTGCAGTATGTTTGGAATGTTGTTGCATTGCATTGTGTTTGGATAGGGTGTTAATCCAAACACGAGAAATGAGGGACGTTTCATACTTGAAGTGATGAAACATGCCTTATTTCTCGGTCGCTGACCCTCTTGATCATGCATGATAGAGGTTAAGGCCCTTAAGTGTTATTTGTGCATTCATTAACATTGATTCGTGCAATCTTGGCTTCTCGGCCATCGTGCATTGCGATGCTCGATTGGTGGCCCGAGAGTCGAATACTACACTCCCTTGAGCTTGAGAAATAATAGGGAGGGTGGTTGTACACACATACCTTGCAAATACACCGCCGTGCCTCTTCTTGTTCTCTGTTGCAATAAACTGGAGTTGTGCAGAATTTTCTGGTCGGCAGACCAGAAAAAGTAGCTGGCCGACCACTTTTTCTGGTCTGCAGCAAATGTAAGTGGTCTACAGGTGGTCTACACCACCAATAAGTGGTCGGCAACCTTCCTGGAGGTCTCCATGATGGAGTAGAAGCTATCTGGAGCTTTGTGCAGTGTCCTGAGAACAATTGCAAACAGAGGCAAGTTGGGGCATAGTGATGGATTTTCGAATGAGGTGACCGAGCATGCACGCACTTCTCCCCCCCGGGGGCCTATCTTTTCTGCTTTAATTAGCTGCTTTGCTTAGCTAGCTAATGCTTTGATTTTGTACTTAAGTAGTTAATGGACTTAGCTATCAATTTGTGTTGTGATAACTAATTGGTTAACTTGTTAGTTAATTACTTTCATTTTGTAATAATTAGTTTAATTAGCTTAGATTAGCTAGTTAGCTTATTATTCGGACCCTCCGTTGAGAGGACAAATTTTGTAATAAGTGTACGTGTGTGTGATGCATGTCTTCCAACCCCATTTCTTTTTCCCTTTTACTTATCAGCTTTCGATGGTTAGTTTAGGGCATGTTTCAATTAGCATACTTATACTTTGCATGCGTGCATCCATTCATTTGTCTTGCATGCACCGGGCTCGGCGCATCATACAAACTACATTGTAGTTCAATTCCAATTTGAATACATGTTATCAAGTTGCATTCACATGACATCTTAGAATAGCTGAGCCTATCTTAGTTGCATTTTGCATGTGTTGCATTAGGCATCTTAACATAGCTAGGATCATGCATTGATTTCTAACTAATTTCCTATTGTGGCTCGGAGTACACTGTGAGTGTTTATGCTTTAGCATCCTTGCATGCGTGTAAGTGACTGCCATGACAGCATGCTTGCCATGAGGCTATGTGCTTAACTGCTATAACTGCTTGAATGCCTGTGGGTGAAGGTTTTATTGCTTGAATTGGAATAATTCATTGAAATGCGAGTTTTAAGCCCACTTGAAGTAGCAAATCACCATGTTTTCTAAGCCCATTTGAGGGTAGCAAATCCGCGACTTAGCCTACTTGCGAGTAGCAACTTCAAACCATTTTCAAACAAACAAACATGAGATGTTTTGTTCCAACTTGAGCAATTTAGTCTATACTTGTATGCTATGCGCATCACATAGTAATTCAAGATTAATAATCAGAATAAGAACACATGTGTTTTCAAAAACAACATACCATGTTAGTAAAGGCCGATCTTTGATCGGGCGAGTGGGGGTGCTCATTGCATTTTTTATGTATTTTCTTGTTTTGTTCCTCTCTTCAAACTCAAGTTGGTTAGTTTCTATCCTCCTTGAGTTTGCGGGGGGCTGTTAGAATTTATCATCACCTACCACCACTACCACCTCACCTACTCCACTAAACCTAACCCACTACACCACTATCACCATCCACTACACACCATCCACTACACCTACATCTATATAAGGAACCATTTGTAATAGACAGAATATGTATCAATATACCAAACAACATCAATAAACATCAATCAATAATACATAAATTTTTACAATCAGCAACAAAATATATGATATATACATATATTTTTATCGGCTATATATTATTTAAAAGTAGAGAAGGAAAAGAAAAAGATGTCGGTACAAGAAATCCACCAAGAAAAAGAAAAAGACAAATAGGCAACAGGGTCACATAAGGAAAAACAGCCTTCTAATCTCTAGAGATCAAAAACAAAGGCACTCCCTGTTAAGGGGAAGAAACCGAAACCCAAAAAGATGACAACAAACTTGTCCCACAGATCACACTGTCTCAAAACTTGTCATTATTTTTTATTTTTTATTTATTGCATTTCTTTCCATCCAAATAACCCAAACCACGACACATATAACACTATTCCATAGAACTTATTCTGCTTCAATGATTGGTGACTACTCTTACAAGATGTTGAGAACCCTGTTAAAATTGTATTTTTCACTAGGAATGTATTTTATTCATTCTTTTCATTATGGCATGTTTGGCGTGATGCTCCAAGTAGGTAGAAGCCCAAGGATTTATTTGTACTTTGAGATTGGGAAGTGGGTTATAATCCACTTCCCAGATTATAACCCACTTCCTCTCTCACAAAAAAGCTGCTTATGAGCAGCTTTTCACCAAAAAACTGATTATTTTATAACTATCTTCCCAAAATAGCCAAGATGTTTAATTATTTTTCCCATTACCGGGTACTAATAGGTATCTCCAAGTCTTGGAATCAAACTTACAGGAAAGAGAAGGCAGCATACCTCTAACCCTTTTATTTTATTTTATTTTATTTATTTATTTATATTTATTATTATTTATTTTTTTCTGAATTTACATTTACAGGCTTTAAACCGATGGGGTTATTATCCACTCATTCTAATAGGATCATGGACTTTTGGCACAATCAACCGCATTCATGATTTTGTTGAGCCAGGCCATAAAATCTATTGGCTTTCATTTCTTGACGTTGGGATGGCTGCACTTATGGTAAATCCTACCAACCATAGGCAAAGCTCTATCTTGGTCTCCTTGTTTTCAGTAGAAGCTTTTTTGGCGTGTGTTTCTCAGTAGACTGTGTTCTTTATTTTGATTACAAATCAAGGTTTTGGATACTAGCTTTTTCAATGTCTGTTTGTTTGTAGGCAGGGCTGTTTCTTTTTTACTGTATACTTAACCTCCTCAAATTGGCTATTTTTTTGTTCATTATTTATTTTTCTGATAAGTCTTGTATTGGCTATTTATCAAAGTATTTATTAAGAGAAATGCTCTTTATTTTCCTTTTTTGCACCCGTGACACATGCAAGGTGCCGATATAGGGTTTCAGACATATGTTTTAGGGGCTGTGTTATATGGACTAGGGTATGAGCATTGGGTGTGGAAGCATGTTCAAGCATGACATTCATAAACTTAAATCTTAAGATATTGGGATATGTGTCCAAAAATTAGATATGGATATGCGGACGTGTTATGGACATTTATATATATTGCATATTGTATAATATTTCTGAGATAAGATAATGTAAATTATGTAGAAATATACTTGAAATAAAATAGGAGATTAGAAGATTAGAAGATTCTAGTGTCTAAATTGGGTATGGGTGTTGGGCAGATATCTCACATCTTTCTCCATATCATATATTCGGTGGACACGGGTACTTTGGAGAAAATAAAAGAGTCCATGTAACACAACTTAGAGGAGATGATTTTGATTGGATCATTTTATAACTGATATAACCTTCAACTATAATGTGTCATCGCAGGTTGTTTTGAACTATATCAAATTGTCCATGCAACTTAGCCTGTTAGAATCTCGGAGATGTTCAAGAAATTATAGGAAATTGGGAACCATGTAACGAAAAATTTATCATTTTCTGTCTGATAGACGTGCTCTGCTGCATGATACCTGTTCTATGGAGTTGTAAATGTCTTGTGCTTATATTAGAAGCTAACTAGCTAACTTCTCGAATTCTTTTTTAGGGCTTGTTCAACTCAATAGCATATGGCCTTAACTCTTCAGTGCGCCGGGTGATATATGAAAGATTGGATCTGTAAGTCACAAATGCTGTATCCTTTACCGAATGTGTTAAGAATTTCTGAGTTGTCTATTGAGATCCTCCATATATCTTACTACGAGAACCTTCTAGGCTGCACTCAGCATTCTTTTTAAAAATAGGCCTTCTTTGAAGCTAAAAAGCAAATTCTCAATCCAAGATTGAAAAGATGTGGCAATACAGTCATAAGAACTCCAATCATTATAATTATCAAATTAATGCTAGCCTTCCAATTATTGGATGCTTCATGCTGCTTATATTTTGGCTGGAGGAGAGAGCCGGATAGGGGAACTGGTATATAGTTGGGAGAAAGGCTATTTTCACCTAGTTTTTATGGGTTGTTTTGGTCTCTTAAATTGCTGTACATCCTATGTTCATGCTTGTTTCTTGTTCACTTTTCCTTTATTTTATTATATGTTTACTTAACTACATTTATTGAGGTGTATGGATCTGACATATTTCGCCAGGTTACCAGACAGGTTTCGAAGATGTCTCCCAAAGAACTGGAAATCCAGAGGCCAGCAGCAAGACAGCGAACTAGTCTCATTGAAGGTTCAAGACCACCAATAGCAATTAGGACATGTTATCGTAGTGCATTCACCTGCAAAATGGTCAATCCTAAAATAAGGTTCCAACATTTGTTTGTCAAATTTGATCGGAGTAGGGATGAACATGAAAACAAGGAATACAGCTCTCACTGCTTCATGCGAAGTGTTGTGGATGCAATGCCTCTCATTAAAACATGTCCAGTATGATTTGTCGGATCATTCCATTGGTCAGTTTGTGGCCTTTTTTTGGTTTCTTCCTTTGTAAAACACTGCTGCCCTTGTGCTCCAGAGGATGCTTATGGAAGTTTCCCCCAGAGATCTCAGTTGAGATGGGCTGGCTATTCCCCAAGTAGAATCTCTGCCAGAGGTTTGTGGTTTCTGCTGTGATCACGGCATTGTAAAGAATTGAATTCCTTTGATTGTATCAGGAGAGGCTGAACATCTTTTACTGATTCATCTAGCATTGGTGATTAACAATTTTTTTTTTTTTGGTTTATGAGTGCGTCATTACTCCATTATTTTTATGATTAACATGAAGTTCTGATTTCTTTCTTTCTTTCTTTCTCTACCTCTTTGCTTACGTATTTTAATAATTGAAGGGTGTGTTGGTTGAGAATTGGCACATAACATACCTAGTTCAGCAATGGCAAAGGGTACACTTGAGGTGTCTTATTGTTTGATGCAGTTCTTTTTTCTTTTCTTTTTTTTTGATGCAGTTTTTTGTGTATTAAAAATTGATAATTAAAAAATAGAAGTTAAAAATATTTCTCTCCTAACTTTTAAATAATTTTTTTTTTTAGTTTATTTAAACTATTTTTACTTAATAACCTATGATTAGAAATTATATCCAACGGTTGATACAAATTTTCAACTTAAAATTTTAAGATGTAACAAACACCCCTATTATGTAGTGTTTGTTTCGAAGGTATTTGATTCAACCAAATTAGAGAGGTGTCAAAAACAACTCTTGAAAATATATTAATTTTCATTTTTTCTATCTGAATTTAGGCCCGTTCTTTATTGAGGCCTATTGTTTCCGAGTCAGGAGCCTCTCCTTGCAAGCTTGTGCTTGCGTCCGTCCTTGCAGGCCTTTGGGTCTATTTTTAGGTCCAATTTTGATAATTCGAACCGTTTATATTTTATGATTTATTCAGTATATCATACCTGTAAAAAATTAAGTTGATCGGATATCAGAAAGTATGTGTTTGAAAAATTGAACTAAACACTATTTTTTAAAGAATTTAATAAACAGTTTTCCGAACATATGCTTTCTGATATCCGATCAACTTGATTTTTTATAGGTATGATATACTGAATAAATCATAAAATATGAACGGTTCGGATTGTCAAAATTGGGCCTAAAAGCAGACCCGAAGGCCTGCAAGGACGGGCGCAAGCTGCAAGGAGAGGATCCTCACTCTATTGTTTCCCTCTGCTGCCATTGAGAGAGAGAGAGAGAGAGAGAGAGAAAGCCTGGCATTTTTGTTTCTATTTGCGAAGAGGAAGGAACGAAGGAAGGGCCAAAGCCAGTTTCTGACTTGCTAACTTGCTACTAGTAGTAGTAGGAGGTGGTTTTTATGGGCTGGTTTCATTTCCATATATGAATTTCTTTCTTTTCCAATTATGTAGCAACTTTTTTTTTCCCCATCTGCTGTTTGTCCGTCTAGACGAGCATAGCATTCATCCTCAACGTCATCCTCGTTGTAGAAGAACAAGAGCGGCAAGAAAAGTAGCCAGTAAAAAGATCCGTTTTATTAATTAAGCGTTGATTAAAAGAAACAGCTCCAAAAAACCAAAAAAAAATGAAAAAATGAAAATCAACAACCACCCCCAACCATTTCGACATTCATTTATTCACAAGGATACAATTACACACATACAGATTTGAAAAGAAAAGACAATAAACGCAAGAGAAAGAAAGGGAGATGTGTCTGTAATATAGAAAAGCTCCCCCATCTATCGGTATTGGTTGGGGGGGGGGAACACACACACACACACACACACACTGAGATCTTCAGATCCAATCACAGAAAAGCTCCCCGGATATTTCAGATCCAAAGTCTCCCACCATCAAACCATTCAGATTATTATATATGGTTTTTAAGCACAGGCGCAAGGATTGTCAAGGAGAAGCAAATCTTGATCGGCACTCCTGAAGAGCAAGTAGCCAAAGGCGAGGCCGACGACGATGGCAAGGAAGACGCCGGCGTTGAAAGACATGACGGCGAGCATAAGGAGGTATCCGAGGGCGGAGTTGACCCCGAAGAGGAGGGCTCCAGCGAACCTGGCAGGGCTCCAGCGGCCGCCAGAGGAGGAGGAGAGCAGCTTATGGTAGAGGAGAGGGGTATGATGATCATCTATGATGGAAGGGGAGGGAGGAGGAGGAGGAGGAGTAGGAGTCTTGTTGTTTAAGGAGGAGAGAATCAGTTTGAAGCGGAGGCGTCTGTCTTCCAAGTACTGATAGAAGACGGAGAAGAGGAGGCAGGCGCAGAGGGTGAGGGCGTACTCCGTCCATGTCTCCGTCTTCCACGAATCCAACAACAGCGTTACCTTCCTTCCCCAATAAAAGGTCATGTGCATCATCTCTTCTTCCCTTCTCTGATCTCTTCTTAATACTTACTTGATACTACCACCTCTACTACTACTAATCAATATGTTGTTTTTTCCGATCCGATTCGATCTCATCCAATGGAAGATAGGTAGGGAGAGAAGAGAATAGGGAAATTTGGAAAGAGAGAGGAATGTTTTGCTTTTTGCTTCGAGGGGTAAAGAAAAAAATAAAAGATTAAAAATAAAAAAAATGAATGAGGAGAGAACGAGGAATTGTGAATTTCTTTCTTTCTATCTATCTAACGCCTATCTATTACCAACCAACCAACCCAACCAACACGTCTGTGGTGAGATGAGTCAGTACAACCTTCAACCTTTGCCTTTGCCTTTGCCTTTGCCTTTGCCTTGCCATGTACTTCTAAGATAGGATGAGCCTTTGTAATGTACTACTTCTTCATTGCTGTCGTATCGTATGGTATCCTATGAGGAGAAATTATTCAACGAGTCATGTTTTATTTTAGGGGAGGCTTCTTTCTAATTTATCGTGTGGATTAGAGTATATTGTTAGGTTAGTAAGATTTATTATAAGTTCTATTTTAATAATTCGAACTGTCAATGTATAGAGCTCGTTAAGTATTTCATAATTGTAAAAAATCATGTTGATCAAAGTAGCTCTTTGATCAGAAAAGTTTTTAAGGTTTTGAAGGTAAATGGGTTTTGAAGGTGAAATTTGAAAAAGATGAATGGGTGATGATGAGGGTGGATAGCCTCGTAAAGCCTAACTCATGATGTAAAGGGTGTGTAGACTTAATTATGAAATGAAATGTTTCAAAATTTATGATGTCATTTTTAATAATTTCATTTGAGATTATTATTATAATAAAAAAAATTAAAAAATAAAATATTTAAAATAATTGATTAAGTTACTAATAACATCACTTAGGTCTCGTTTGACAACATCATTTTTTAGTCTAAAAGTTAAAAAATCACTAAAAAAATCAAAAAGTTAACAACTTATATCAAAAAATTAAAGATTTCTTTTTCTTTCTAATTTTTGCAAATCTTTTAGAAAAAAAAAAGTCATCCAAAGCATATTATTTTTTTATATCATATTTTAATTAAAAAATAATAAAAAAAACTATTAAAAAAATATGTTCCAAGCCTAAAAAAAAATAAAGCCGTTTATAAATAAATAAATAAATATTTGCAGTACAAAGCTCCCGTTAAAAAGGGTAAAATGTAGTACATACTCGTACTGCCAAACGAGGCGCCACCCTTGAACCCTTCATCCACTTCTCTCAGAATAAAATAAAAAATAAACAAAAAAAATTACAATAATAGTAACTAATGTTTAACACTTGTTTTTTTGTTCAAGTATCTACCGTTTGAATTTTATCAATTAGATCCTTAAAATATTAAATTTGAATCAATTGTTTTAGAAGGTTGATTAAAAGTTAATTTTTTTGACTTTTTATTTTTTAAAATGTATAAAAAAAATCAAGAACTTGGTTTTCAGTTTTCCAAAACATTTTTCAGAAAATTCTACTTTCTTATTTTCCGTGTTTTTTTATTTTTACTGAATTTTTTTAATATTTTAAATAATTTTTTTACTTTTTAGACACACCTAACATAAATACACTTAAAAAGTAAAAAAATTGTAAAAAAAATCAAGAATTCAGTATATTTTTTATATTTTTATGTATTTATTAATTTTTAAAATATTTTTTTACAATTTTTTTACTTTTTAGATACATCTAAATAAGGTGCATCTAAAAAAATAAAAAAAAAATGTTTAAAATTTTAAAAATATTCACTAAAAACAAAAAAACTAAAAAACTAAAAAAGTTAATTTTCAAAAAACTTAATCCAGAAAACTCAAACCAAACACAGTGAAGGTGACCCAAAATAAGTTAAAAGTCTTTTTTAGGTGTCGTTTGGGAAGAGCTCATTTGGGCTCTTTTGGCTCTTTGAGCTACAAAAGACAGAATAGGCTATTTGAGCCACAACAAATAAAAAATCACATCCAACCCATAATCATTACACTCTTTTCTCACAAAAAAGTTAAAAAAGTCAAAAAGTCAAAAAGCCCTTCCCAAACCAAGCTTTTGAGCCCAGGCTCAAATAGCCAAAAAAGCCAAAAAACCAACCCACTTCCCAAACGGAGGCTGAGCCAAGTTCAATACAAAAATAAAATATAAGCCCAAAGGTTATATAAAATTATTATAAGGCCCAAATTTTAATTTATTGTTAACTTAATTATCTTCCACACGTGTGTTTTAGAATTAATATGAAAGTTTAGTTTATCAATTTTCTCAATATTAATATGTGAGCATTAAATACACTGAAGAAGTCGAATAAAATAATTTAAATAACAGTAGTACTGCACTCCAAATAATTATCAAACAAAATAACAATTAGGTTATTAAAAGAACTTAACAAAAATCTGAAAGAAAATCAATTAGAAATTATACTTCAAGTTCGACATCTATTACTAGATAAATGTAAGTAATAACTCTTGAAAAAAATACAAATAATTATCCTTATCATTATCTTTAAAGAGTAACTCTCCAAGAGAATCTTTTGAATTAATACCACCAGAAAAATAAAGAAATATATCTAAGTGATTATAGTTTAAATGAATTATAAATAATGGCAAAATAAAAAAAAAAGATAATAAAATGAAATCTAAAATAATATTAAAAATATCCAAAAAATAAAATAAAATGGATAATTGTGTATTATAAGAAATAAATAATAGTATAATAGAAATAGAAGATGACCTATATAAATAACAACAATGTTAGGTGGCCCGAATTTTCATTGCTCGAATGTGTTAAAACAACGTCGTTTTGGGTGTAAAACGACATCGTTTTGATACATTTGAACCATTTGGGCTTCACAAATTCGTGCCACCGAACATTTTTCTAGATATAAATAGAATTAATCAATTGGAGAGAAATATACCAATTATAAAAGCACATGTTCAAAGGATAATTCAATTAACAATAAATTAAAATTCGGCCTAATCATAATTTTATATAACCTTTACTATTTTTATATTGTCTTCAAGACTAAATTGATTTGAATTTAATATTTTAGAGACTTAATTGACAAAATAAAAACTTTAGAGACTTAAATGAAAAAGATGTTAGACTTTAGGGACTATTTTGTAATTTATCCAAAAAATTAAATAAATAATAAATATTATGACTGGTATGTTTCATTATTATTTTTTTATAGTGAAATTTATTAAAAAATTATTTTTCAAGTGTTCGTACCCCAATTAGTTCATAAGATATTCTTATATTATAATAAGTCTTATTATTTGGACATTTGATCTACCAAATTCTAATTCTCATATTTAAGGTATTTTATAGGCATTTATACCTTTATAAATATTTTTTGAACAGTTAGCAATTTGGTGATATAAATATTCATATTTTACAATATGAATATTCACTTAATAGTGTAAACATTAACATTACGAAACATTCACACTGTAAATGTGAATATTATTAGAGACATTTTGGTAACTATCACCCATAGGTCTTATTGGAATATAAGAAAATAATATAGACTAAATGGAACATAAATAGGTAAAAAGAGATTTATGAAAAAGTGTCCATTTTTTATATGAATAGATTATGAAACAAAATATAATTTATATTCATTATTTTTTTAATAATTATTTTAAAACAAAGTTTTTAATCATTAATATTCATATAGATAGTGATATGAAAAAATAAATAATACATAGTATTTCTCAATAAATAAATAAAGATATAATTGTCCCTCCAAAATATAAATACATATGATTTATGCAACACATCTCAAGTCTGAGCCTAAATCCAAATCTTACTCACATAAACAACTAATCCATTCGCATCTCGCTCTCCCTCCCCTTCAAGCTTCATGCAGTTCTATCCCTACAAAGTTCGGAAAATTGTAATAGATTCATAAATGTTATACAAAATAAGTTTTCATATAATATGTCCGTCATAATAAAAATAAAAGTGAGTCATGTCAACCTAGACTTCTACTAAAAGCTGGACAAGGTGTAAACAGAGGCCTGACAAATAAAGACTAATGATTCTATGAAACATGGCAAATTCAAGAGACATCTCAAACGAATGCTACTATAGTATGTTTATTGTCTTCCAGAATCTTAGACTAACCGTTGATGGCATACAAGATATTTTCAAAACATAATTATGTAATTCAAGAAATATTTACGAGATTTATTCCATAAAACAAGTTTATGTACATGTCCTAAATCATATATAGCTTTTATGCTAGTACAATGGTTGGCATTATAAAATATTATTATTTTATTATTATTATTTTCAAGACACGTGGCATCTTCTTATTCATTTGAAAGTTAAAAAAAGTTATGGAAAATATGAAGGACAAAGTAGATGAATGGAATGACACATGGCAAGACAAGAATGAAGATGGAAGAAATTGATAGTTACTAAGTAGTTATTGCTGTATTTTTTACTCTATAAATAGCCATTAATGGCTACATTGTAAGGATTCAGAATTCAAATCAAAGACAATTGATTTCAATATTTCTTGTCATTTTTCTTATCTTAGGAGTAGTTTAACATAGATTTATACTTCGAAACATTTATTTTCAGCACTTCTTTTTCGAAGCATTTTATGCACTTCAATTTCGAAGCATAGGAGTAAAGGTAAGTAATGATTACTTTGATTGTTCACTCAATCGTCTTTCTCCGTCTCTGTCATTCTTCTTTTAATGTTTCTTTTATCTACACTTGGCAATTTTGAAGTCCTCTTTGTTGAAGCAAAAGAACCGTCAACGCAATCGCTTGATAATTGGCTTGAATTTAATCTGTAAGGATTTTTCAATCCTTGCTGGCACGCTCGCATTGATGATATTTTCTTTCGTAGGAAAAATAAGCCAACAATTTTTGGCACGCCCAGTGGGACTACCAAGTGTAAGAAATGACAAATGATTTGGATTTCGCCATTCGAACTTGTCAATATGAAATATATTGCCGTGAAAGAAAAATTTTGGACCTTCAAGAAACGATCCATTTTCTTGATGAAAAAAATTTTCAAGTTGTTTCTTCATTACCATATTACCATACTATTTGGTAAAAGAAAAAATACACTACTTAATTGGAGTAACTCATCAACTTGATGTGGAAATTTGCCAATGGAGACATGAGTTATTAACCCTTTTTGTCAAGTCTTTAATGACTAAATTTTGTGGGGTTTTACAAAATGTTTTTAAGTCATTTGTAACTGAAATTAGTGAAAATATAATTTCATCAATGGCTTGGGAGGTCGAAAAACCCATTTTTAAAGAGCCAATTTATGAAAATAACATGGTTAAAAAGTATGTTGTTGAGCCAAATATGGTTAAAAATA